TTAATGAATTTTTTACTGTTTTTATAGAGTCGAAAAAAATCTAAAAAATTCTCATAATTGTTATTTTGCTTAATTAGTTTAATTCTGGTGTTACTTTATTTTTTTGAAATTTAATTAATCGTTTTCCATCATTGTGTTTGAGTCTGAGTCTGAGTCTGACTATCTGCATAACTTGTTTGCTTCGGATACTGAACTTGATTTTGAAATGGCTGATAATAGAACCTTAAGACAATTAGTTGCCCCTGATGTAAATTATAATAGTTTGTGTATTGAATATGACGATGTTGCTGCTCCTTTCGAATCAGAATCTGGTTTAATACACTTGTTGTCAAGGTTTAATGGACTTGCAGGTGAGGATCCGAATAAGCATATGAATGAATTCCAAATTATGTTCTCTGCACCTTCTGAACCTTCACTAGAGGACCTTGTCAAGAAAATGGCTATAAATGATCTTCAGTTTCAGCAACAAACGGATTCAAGTCTTCAAGCTTTGCAGACACAGATTGAACAGCTTGCCACTATAGTGAATGTCATGCAGTAAGCTCAAGATTCAAACCAACCATCTGCCCAAACAGTAGTGAATCCAAAAGAGTTTCCTTCTAATTTAGTTGATGATACTTATTCTGAATTGTATTTTGATTTTCCATCATTAGCAGATTTTGATGATACTTACTCTTGTGATTCATGTACCGACACTAACATTTGCTCTGTTTGTGCTGAGATTAATGCTGTCGTACAGGGTGATGTTTTTCATGCAGATGAAGTTGTTTATGAAGCTAAAACTCTTAACATCACGGCTGCCCCAACCTCACCATCTATTGAACAACCTTCCCCCTTGGAGCTTAAACCAATTCATACCAATCTGAATTATGCTTATTCAGATATGGATAAAAAGCTTCCAGTTATAATTTCTTATAACCTTGATTTTGATGAAGATAATAAACTTTTACAGGTTTTGAAGAAACATAAGAAGGGAATTGGATGGACCTCGATGGAAGTGGGAAGAAAAGCAATGAAGCAACCCCTTAACCCATTGATCTCTGATGTTGTGGAAAAGGATATCAAATTCACGTGTCCATTCGACACTTTTATTTATCAAAGATTCTTATTTGATCCTGGAATAAAAGGTGAAGGTACTAATAAATATTTCAAGGTCAATGGATACTACGCAAAGTTACTTTATAACATCCCCACTTTGGGAGAGGAGCCTGTAGAAGATCCCTCTTTGGGAAAGACTGCTTATATGATCACTTATCCACCTTGACTCAACGGGTGTGTTCTTTCCTTTCTCTCACTCTTATTTATATTTATGTTCTTTCATTGAGGACAATGTATGATTTAAGTGTGGAGGAGGGAAACCTTTATTTTATTTGCTTATTTTACTATTTTGTTTTGGTTTGTTTTCAGTTATAATAATAAAATAAAATAAAAATTGCATCTTTTTGAAAGTTCTAGGCTAAAGACTAATTTGGGATTAGTTTGCGGAGACTTGGAAAAAATTCACAAGATCGGTATCGTCTTAACACCGTAAGTCTCCTCATATGGAAATTGATTTGAATTCTTATTATGGTTTAGCCTTGAATTTTCATTCTATAACAGCTCTTGAGTAGTTTATTTTAGCAGTCAGCACCATCTCATACACACTTATTTTAGCAGTCAGCACCATCTCATACACACTCTACGCAGGGAAGCCGATGAATATAAGTGAGTGATCAAATTGAAAAGAAAAAAAAAGAAAAAGAAGAAAAAAAAGAAAAAGAAAAGAAAATAAAAAGTTGAAATTTTTTTATTACTTGTTAGTTGGTTCAGCGGTTTCTGGTGCTGAACTTGGTAGGGCGGATTACGGTCCGATCCCCCGCAACTACAATTAAGTCGGTAAAGGGTTATGCCACGTAAGTACCAGAACCCCAAACAAAAAGGATCAGAGTCACTAACCGGTCGCCTTGCTATGAGTGTGTGGAGATAACGGGCTTAATGTGATTGCGCCTGAATGAAAAAGAGCAAAAAGGAGAAAGAGTAAGTTAGACTTCAACATAATAACATGATTCGAGTTGATTTGTATATTCAGGAGGTTTATGTCTGCACAATTATGGATTAGTGTTCCTACGATATCCTTAGTGTGTAAGATTAGTACCTATCGATGCAAACTTAACCGAAGAAGACTTACAGCCTGGAATGAGTATCTGTTGATGTGTTTGTGCTTTCTTTGTTGTGTTTTATTTTAATTTTGCTCGGAGGCAAAAGTTCAAGTCTGGGGGAATTTGATCAGTGCATATTTATGCACATTCTCCTATATTTTTACTTAGACATTTGTTTATTTTATTTTGTTTATTATTATATTTTATTATGTTTTCATATTTTATTTTATTTTTGGTTTAATTTAATTTTCGCACTTATTTTTCAGCTTTAGCAGTCTGCACGGAAACGATCATAACTGGAGCTCCGGGAATCCGTTTGAGGCGTTCTAAAAATCGCCGGAAAGCTAAGAGAGAGAGAGCTACGACTTTCGTGTTGGAGCCGAAATCAGATTCGGAGCTCAAAATTCCAGAATTCCGTTTCAAGTTACAACATTAGGAATTTGTTTTAGTTTTGGGTCATGTTTTGGGTCTGGGTTATATTTTCGACCCAGTTGGGTTATGACCCGAATTCTGGTTTTTATCCCCTTTAGTCTAGGTCTGGCCGTACAGCCAAAAAAACCTATTCACTATTCACGAAAAAATAAAAAAAAACCTTTGAGAAGAACTCATGGAAAACTAATACCTCCGGGCAAATCCTGCTGTGTATGTTTTCAACACTTTGAGGTTATTATAATATCAATTTAAATCTGATTCCTTTCAATCCTTTTCTATGAAGTCATTTGCTTAATTTGATTGCAATTGTTTGCTTAATTCAATTGTTGTTCATAGGATAGAATTGATTAAATTCGATTGTATGCATGTTCCTAAATTTAATTGCGTGTTATCGTTTGCTTAATTCGTTAATTCGTCATATTCTTAACCGTTTGCTTAATTCGGTAAACAGGAACATAATTCATTTGATGTTGGTAAGCGCCTGTCTGATTAATATCATAATCGAATAGGATTAGAGCCGTTTAGGGATTGATGTTATAATAATCGATGATAAGTCGGAACCCGAATCAGTAGGATTAGCCGTTTTATCTTATTTTAATAAGCATTTTTTTTTATAATCACTTATTTTCAGTATTTTTTCTCTTAATCAAAATTCAAACCCCCATAAATTATTACTTTATTGGTCAATCACTACAAAAATCCTTTTGAGAACGATATTTTGAGTCACTGTCGCTATACTGCATTTTCCTAAAATTACTCGTTTTTGATCCGCGAGCGACCGCGGATCAGTGATATATATATATATATATATATATATATATATATATATATATATATATATATATATATATATATATATATATATATATATATATATATATATATATATATATATATATATATATATATATATATTCTACAATAATATTTAAATTATACAAAATCTATCTTGATAATATTTCTTTCAGAATTATTTTCTGTTGTTTAACTGTATTTTTTTAGTTAAATCAATAAATATTTAAAAAAATTTTAACGGGTCATGCTAACTAATAGCTCAGAGTATGTTAAGAATTTTAAATAAAAAAAATAATATATATTTAATTTATTGAATACACACAAGATTTAAAAAAAAAAAAATTATTAATGTTTTTAGTGCATTAAATGCATATATTTAAAAAAAAAACAAATATTTTTAATCCCTTAATGGATGTTCAACTTTTTAATTTTTTAATCAGTGTTCCAGAAACACTAATTAGCATTACTGTAATTACAAACAACAATATTAATATCATCCCCTAATATTTCTTCTCATAAATTAATATGATCTTCCAATGAGAAATAATTAAATTAAATTAAATTAATCAATAATCAATTACTTAAATCAATCAATAATCAATTAAATTAAATTAAATTACATAAAATATTTTTTTATTTAAATTCTTAACGTGTGTCTCGGACATCGGATAACATGACCTTTCAATTATTTAAAATGTTATACTCAATTTTCATTTCACAATTTAATTATTTACTTAAAAGTCATTGTTATCTAAAAAAATTATAATCAAACTGTTTATTACAATTATATTATCATTAACATTTATTTATTTATTTATTATAATTTCATGTATTTTAAATTAACAATAATAAAACAGTTTGATTTTATTTATTATTTACTTTATTCCATGCTAATATTAATAAAAAATATTTAAATTAATATTTTAAATTATAATAAATAAAATATAAATAAAATATTAATATATGAATTTTTATTAAAATTATATAATACAAATAAAAGTAAAAGAATTGTTATAAAATGATATAATTTAATGAAATCTACACAATAATCCTGCGATCAATTGCTCTACTGGAGGTGTTTTTAGGGACACACCTTAATGACTAAGTATAAAAAATTTACTTTTTAAAATTGTGACTTAAGTATAAGGGTTTTACTTGTAAATATCTTAGATGTGACTTTAGAGCACATATACAATCATTCTTTAATTTAATAAATAAAATAAAATAAAATAACATATTTATATTTATATTTTCCAACAATTCATTTGTCAGCCTTGAAAAAAAAAAAAAAAGTCACGTTTCTCTGCTTTTTTTTTCGTTTTTTTACGGTTTTTTTTCTTCATTATTTGAAATTTTCTTTCCTCTAAAGCATGGAAGGCGTCAAAATTGCCCACTCCCCCTCACTCTCTCAAATTCCTCTTAGTAACGTTTAACATTCAAAGCCGTTACTTTCTAATTCTCCATTCCTTTTTTTGAATTTTCTCGCATTCAATTCAATTTATATCACACGATTTGTAATAGTGATAGAATCAGAATTCGTACGGTCCCACCCAACACCACAACCCCACTACCACTTTACTCCAAAAACATCAGTTTTTAAGGTTTCTCTGAGTTTATACAGTTTTTCATGTCTCTATGGAAAACATACCAGTTATGTTGGACGAACAGAAGCGACGACGGCAATGTTGTTTGTCCGAGGAACGTGATGTTAGTATCGGCCCTGATTGGGTTAGGCAGTTTTTGGATATGTCGGATGAAGAATTAACCGAGGTTGTTTCGTCAGGTGAAGTGAATAAACCTAATGTAGACGTTGAAGAAGATGATGATGACTGTGTGATTCTTGATGGTGACCCGGAAAAGCAAGTTACGCATGTGAATGATTCTCCAAATGGTTCTGATGAGTTACTTGTAGTTGGGGAAAAGGGTCAGGTATTTTCTTCAATTCCATTCTTTTAAGTTCTATGATTATAATTTGATTTGTTAGTCTTAATTGTGATTATAGAAATTATATAATGTTTAACTGTTGCTAATTAAATGTTAGTATTTGGAAGAAAACATAGTGTGACAGGATTCTTTAAATTCAATACCATATGTAGAGTGGTTATGTTTTTCTACTTGCAGATTGCATGCAGAGACTATCCTCATCCGCGGCATCTTTGTGCTACTTTTCCTTATTCTTCAACCCCTCATGAGAGATACTGTGCCCAGGTAAAAGACTATGTCGGAATTTAGCATTAATGTTTACTTATGTTATGTGATAAATATATGATTCGGTTACTTTGATTTCGAATTTTGATGATACACAGTGCCACTGTTATGTGTGTGACTCTCCAGCACCGTGTCTGAAATGGGGCAATGGTCTTTTAACTACGGATCATTGTCATGCAACTGATAGATCTGAGACATGGAAAACTCTGAGAAAAGATTCCAAGCGGGTTAAGAATGTCCCATTGCCAGCTTCAACCAACAATGGTACTTTAGGTAATGTTGTGAATTCTCAACATAACCGTATTTTGCCGTTTAATAACGCGCCTCTGTCTTCAAATTCCATGTTGATGAATCAGACATCAAGGACAAAGGTGTTGTGTATGCGCGGCTTAGTAAATCTTACTCCTCAAAATCAGGCGACTCATCTGTCTTCAAATTCCATGTTAACAAGTCTGACGTCAAGGTCAATGGCATTGCGTGCGTGCCCAGTAAATCTCACTCCTCAAAATCAGGCTGCTTGTCCGATAACCATGAATGCATGCTCTTCACAAAGGTCTATATTACAGCAGAATCACGCCTTGTGGTCAACTGAAATGCATCCATTCTCGGGAAATTTCGTACCTCAAAATCAGGCCTCTCAGCCAATTAGAATGAATGCAATCAATGCATTGTCCTCACTAAGTTCTAGATTACATAATCAAGGTTCAAATTCAATCTATTCACGTCCACTCTCAGACAATTTCGTACATCAGAATCAGGCCTCTCAGCGGATTACGGTGAAGGAAATTTCCTCGCTAAATTCTAGATTACAGAATCAGATATCCAGGTCAAATAATGTCCTTGGATGCTCTACAGATTCCAACTTAACAATCCCAAATGGCACAAACAACAGTAGATATCAAGAACCCGGATCTACATTGGTGAGAAACAGGTATCCTTCGCACACTGCTCCAAGAATGTCTCTAGGTGTACAAAGTCACCTCATCCAAAAGAAGCCAGGGCACAGAGTCAACAGGATAGACAGCATTGGCATTGGGAACACTGCCGCAACGAACTGTGTTACACCTCTCAGTGCATCTAGTTTCATCAACCATGTCAATCCACCACATGGTGATAGAAATCATGCTGCTGCAACAGAATTTTCAAATAGCAGAAACTGTTACGCACACAATAATGATGTTTTGATTGCCCAAACAATTAATTTATTGCTTGCACAACCAAACCATAGTCCAGCATATGAAACTCAACCATGTTACCAGTCAAATAATAACCTGAGTCCTTACGGATATTGTGATATTCAGGCTAACGATTCTCTTTCGAGTTACCTGGCTCGCCTGAACAAAAATGAGCATGAAATTGGAAATCAAAATGAAAATATCATCAACAGTGGAGCTAGAGTGCAAAATGTTTTCCAACAGAAACCTGATGGTGGGATTGAAAATGAAGGTTTCATAGCTAAAGAGTCCAATACTAATGAAAATATTTCTTATGTTGAAAACTTAGTATCTAATGCTAACGAGTGTAGTACTCCATTTTCTGGAAATACTCACCTGTCATTGGATGAGATCAAGCACTGGCTTCTTGATTCCAATTAATGTAGATGTGTTGCTTTAGTTTCTGAACAGAATATATAAATCATGACCTGATTTCAGCTCTAGTGGCTAACTATTAGTGATTTTTGTCTTTTTGAGTTCACTCTTGTAATTTGAGGAAAAGATAAGAGATTATAATCTTTGAATAGAAAATCATTAGTAAAAATTGTTTCAGTTTTTTTATTGACTTTCATAACTCCGAGAAATGTCATGTGATTAAGAGTGTTTACCGATGTTACGAAATTTTAGTTATTATTATTTTTATTATTGTTATGTGTTCTTATGATGTACAAGATTTTTTTTAAAGAAGTGATCATGATTTTGAAAAAATTAAAAGTGAACATGTCTTTGCTAATGTCTTCATATGAATCATACATAAAAAATACACTCACGATAGGTGTCTTTTTTTTTTTTATTTTATTTTAAATTTTAAGCTCTAGGTCCCTCATCTGAACTCTTGACTCACCCCTTTCACAATAACGATAATATATGATGTATGACATATAATAATGCAATGACAACAACACAACAATAATTATAGCCCCACATCTAAGTGTAAGTACATTAAAACACATCAACAATAATTATACTTGTACTTCATAACATCTATGCACACGTCAAATAAACATTCACATATAACTCAATCATATCAATTAATCTTATCATTGCTTCACCATTAATTCATTCATTTACAACGATTAATCATTCTTCTTTATCGCCAACCATTATGCAATAAGTAAAAAAATTAAATTTCACATATTCCAGTACTCATCTAGCCTCTTAATACATAACTATGGAGTAATCATACGCGTCAATTTTCCAACGTTTTGAACGGCACCTCATTTGGAACTACGAAACTAAAGTTATGACAAAAATAATCAGAGAAAATAATAGGTTTAAGCTAAATTTTTGTTTGGTAGTTTTCACAATTTTTGTTCAGGATAGAATCGAGGAATACGATAAGAGTCAGCTCACAAGAAAAGTTGTTACCCAAGGGGAGACTTCCAGAACTCAAGTTGTGTGGGAAACCCCTGATTTCAAATGGGTTAAGCTGAATACAAATGGTGCTAGTAAAGATAGTGGAGGGGCTGGATGTGGGGGAGTTATTCGTAACATCAAAGGTGCCTTAGAGGTTTTTACAAAAAAAGTGGGTAGGTGTAGCACGCTTTGTATGGAATTGTGGGGAGTTTTGGAAGGTCTTAAGATTATTAATAAAGGAGGCTCGAAAAAGATAGAGATTTGCATGGACTCGGTTGCTATAGTTGGGGTCATCAAGAGATGTCCTAAAGAGGTGAAAGGTTTTTCTCTCGTTCGACAAATTCGATTTCAATTAAATTTGATAGAGGAAGTGAAGATTAAGCATGCTAATAGGGAGACAAATTCATGTGCAGATAGGCTAACTAAAGTTGGGATAGACTGTGAGCTCGATAAGGAATTCAGGATAGATTTCTAGATTTCATTGCTGAGCTGGTTAACATTGATATTAATGGGGTAGCTAGTAGTAGTAATCGTGGGCAGTTGTGTTTTCTTTTGGGCTTAAGCCCTCTTTGTAATTATATATATATATATATATATATATATATATATATATATATATATATATATATATATATATATATATATATATATATATATATATATATATATATATATATATATATAAAACAAAGTTTTAGTCTTGTTGAACTAGCTTAGTTAGTAGTTATATAGAGAAATCAGATATTAGGGCACAAATTCGAACATGTGACATCCTAGGTTCATCTTGGGGAGTTCCAGCCATCATACTATTTAATAAAAAAACGTTTTAACTAATTCAAAAAAATTGGTATATTTAATACAATGTTTGAACTAAATACATGAATTGTTTGTACTCATTTTGCTTATAGATGTTGTTCACTTTGATTTTAAAAGTTAGACATCGAGCTACATTCAACTTAAAATTAAAATTTGGATTTTGAAATTAAGTAAAAAATATCCACATTATTTTAAATTTTTTTATGTACACCTTAGAGCATTCATATCCATGCCACTCAATTTACACTAAAAAAAACCTTCTCCAGCCTCATGATGTTGCGAAGTAGAATTTACGTGACAAAGTAATGATGTTGCAACATGAATTACACATCACAAACATTTTTTAATTAAATAACATTTCAAAAGTTTATGTGTTTTAATATTTAAAATAAAATAAAATTTGAAACGTGTTAAACCCGTCGCAACATATATTTTAAAATAATGCAAACATTTCGTCAGAGATTGCACATGGAGAGAGATTTGAATTTAAAAATATATATATGTTATGACGTGAAAATCACGTCCCAACCCACTTTTCAAAAAATTCAAATATAGCGTGAGAATCTTCTCTGCATGAAGTGAAGGCTTGGTCAGAACAATATGACCGTTGTGTCAGTCAACTTTACCGACGTAGAATTCACATCACAAGATAACTGATATTTTTTGTTTACGGGGGGAAAGAGAGGTTTAAACAAACGACTCTGTCAGGGAATACCAGTAAGATGAACACATCCATCAATGATTTTCTGTTTGGGATAAAGTAACACAAAAATCTCCTGAATTATGCCTTTATCTGCTGGATAAACGTCTGGCGACAATGATATCAAACTTGACTTATACTTCAAATGCATATGTTTGAATATGGCGTAATGCTCCATACGAAATGAAAATGCTACGCATTTGGGAGGATGTAATGCAAATGCTTATGCAAAAGAACACCACTGGGAGAAGTGCTGAGAAGATCAGCAAACAAACTCTGCTGAGGAAAACACTATTGAATGGTCTTCTTGAATATAATCTCTGCTGAAAAATCCACTCTGCGGGGAATTAAGAGTAACATCTGATGGGAGATCGTCCCAAAAACCTGATTCTTAAAGATGCTAATGATCGTTGGACTTTGAACCTGTCGGGGGTATCAACCACCGTTAATCTACCTGTCGAGGGAATCAACACCAAAAACTGCTTGGGGAGAAAAGTCAAGGATGCCAATCCTGCTGGGGAATAACAATGAGTTTACCCTGCTGTTTGGGGAATATCCTTCAACCTTAACCTGTTGAGGATAAGTGTACACCATTACTGGCGAAAATACTCTTGATCTGATAACAAGATTTTGTGGGGAAGACAAAATCTTTGCCGCGGAAATACAAAGAGTCTTCTGCTGAACAAATGCCTAACTACATACCATCACCACTCTGTCTGATGTAGTTAACTCTTGGACACTCAATGGGGAGTACAAATCAAACTGGCTGGGAAACACAACCTTCTAAACTCCTTCTAGGGGAGGAGAGATTCACCATGCGTTGTTGATACTGTTAGAATTTCACTGCTGGTGAGAAAAGCTCTACTGGGGAGAGCATCATGTCATCCTGCAAACAAACAATAAGCAACAATATGTTCTACATGCGAAATGGCTACCTCAGTTACCATTCATGACACCTAGTGTTCAAGTAAATTCGTTGTTTTCAATATGCTCTGTAAAGCCTTATGTTTTCACATGTGATGTTCGATAAAAATATCAGACGTTTTTGCAAACAAAACAGTAAAAGTAAAAACAGAAATGAAAAACTCTTTGAGTGAAATGAACACTTTATTGATAGAATGACCTGTAAATAGGCAAGTTACAATTTGGATGCAATTCCTGGAAACAGGTAATTATGCAAAAAGTAAAAAGAATATACAAATGTCGACAATATGGGAACAAATATCCACCATGTGTAAAACCCCCTTCTACACCCCCAAATAATCAAATAAATCATTTAAGCACATTTTAAAATTTTATCAGAGTATAATTAAAACATGGTGTAAAAGAGGCATGTCACATCATACACAAGATTGAAACATACAACATCTGCTCTATAAAAGACATGCAACAGTGGGGTAGCTTTCAACAGAGGAACTTAGTCTTTACACCCACATCTCAATATTTAGAATTAAAAGTGGAAAATCTGAGCATTGAATCATTTTAAATATGTAATCATATAAATACAAATCATCCAGTTTGATTCACCACATCATTCATGTTTACATAAACATTTGTCAGCAGATACATATATAAATGTATCACAAGAGAATGCTATACAATCCTAACTACCCGGTGCTACATATCAGAGCTAACCGACCAAAAGAATGAAGCTATACTTCACAAAAGACCTCCAACAAACCTAATCTGCAATTCCTCATATGGCATTATAAAACAGCAGAAGGGTGAGAAATATTATCATAATAATCAATGCATATATGAAAGTATGCTTGTGTACGAATTGTTGAATTGAGGATTATGGATGTGTGCATGATGAAATATCTTTGGTGATTATCCATATTTGTTTATACATATATTGTGATGTATATGATGATGATAATGAATTGTAGTGGGAAATGCGGAATATGTGTATTCTATGCTGGTGTATATATATATATATATATATATATATATATATATATATATATATATATATATATATATATATATATATATATATATATATATATTTATATATATATATATATATATATAAAATATATATTATATATATATATATATATATATATATATATATATATATATATTTATATATATATATATATATTTATATATATATATATATATATATATAAAATATATATTATATATATATATATATATATATATATATATATATATATATATATATATATATATATATATATATATATATATATATATATATATATATATATATATATATATATATATATATATATATATATATATATATATATATATATATATATATATATATATATATATATATATATATACACCAGCATAGAATACACATATTCCGCATTTCCCACTACAATTCATTATCATCATCATATACATCACAATATATGTATAAACAAATATGGATAATCACCAAACATATTTCATCATGCACACATCCATAATCCTCAATTCAACAATTCGTACACAAGCATACTTTCATATAACAATGATATCTATGCCATGT